GTTCTATATTATTTGCAATATGGATATAAGATTGTTCTGCTCTTATATACGTTTAAAAGAATTTGCCCAACTTTGTAGAGGGACGTTAAAAACTTCGGTTTCTATAAGTTTAAAGACATTGGAGTTAACACGGGGAAAAACATTGTTACGACGAAAGGCAGATTTCATTTGGTAACAAATATGTTCAATGGGATTAAATACAGAGTGGTAAGTTGTATCGCTTCTTTTTTTCCTCGCTGAAAATGGGGTTATTCACAATTTTCCATACAGTTGATGTTGGAATTTTCCTCAATGTGACCGTTTCTTCTAAAGATGCTTGCTTGCTGGCACCACGTTGAATGAGAGTCAAATAAACATTGTTTATAACTTCCTTAGTCTCAATAGAATAGTGTTTTCTACATTTGGGCGGGAGCATCTCCTGAGATACACTAGACTCGCACATATTTTGCATAAAGAATAATTACTAATAAACTTAAACTAAGCAGTATACCAAACCAAAGAATATTAACCACAGATAAGTATAAAATTATTTTCTATTACGGACCACAAGTTTACCTGAATTTAAATTCCGAAACTTTAGGTTATAATCTTGTTGCATTGTATGTTAATGACTACCCTTGGATAATCCCATTCAAAAGCAATTGATCACTTTCTTATATCTATGAACAGACTATACCTGTTTGTCCAATGTAATTTTTAGGACAAGATCCGCATTTCAACCTGATTTTTGAGATTTTGGACATTTCGTTGTATTCTTTTTTAAAAATTTGCCTATCGTGTTGTTAGTTCTTAAACTACATTTTGACAAATGTTTTGAATTTGAAACCCTTTCACTAGGTTCTCCTATTTATATAATTGTTTTATGAAATTTTGAAATTAAAAAAAAATATATATTCATGATTTAAAAAAATAAATAAATGTTTTTTGATTTGTTTAATGGAAATCAAACTTTGAGAGACCAATATGCAAAAGTAAAAATCAGGGGAATCCTCACTTAATTTTGGAAATTAAAAGTGGCATAAATTGTTTTGGAAAATGGGACATTATTATTAGTTTCTAATTCGATTAAACAAATTTAACAGTTGCACAGTGGCGGCGAACGAGTAAATTTCAACCCCGCAAACAAAAAACGCTAACGTTATAACAATCAGATTTTTACGGAATAACGGAAATTTTATTTGAACCGGTAGTCGACCATTTATCGTATATATATGTATGCATAATAATAATACATTAATTTAAATAATAATCGATTAAGATTTAACCAAACGAACACGAGGTAGCTCACGCCTCGTACGCTGCGTTTAATTTTAACGATTGACCAAGCGAATAGAGAAAACGGTCGAATATTTAGTAGTCTCGTGTAAGTAAATAAACGATTTTCTGCCATTCAGCGAACATAACTTAATAACCTATTCGACGATCTCGCCTAAAATTCTCGATAAAATGGACAATGAACCTTAAAAATCGGTGGGCAGTGTCGGCTTGCCATATGCGATATCGCCTTGAACGTAGGAAAAGCCCACGCCATGTTTTTAGCGTTTCTCGTTTTTCCAAATCGAAAATCTCCATATTTTCGTCTGCGTTTGTGGCGTCCAAGCAAAAGCGATAAAATTTAACGGGAAAATTCCTTTGTTTGTCTTCGAATTTGACTACGCCACTGGATTTACGAGTTTTTCATATAAATACAAATTTACAATCATAAAGAGAAAGTTTCTGTATTTGGATTTACTAGTTTTTCACATATACGAAAATTTACAATCATAAAGAGAAGGTTCTTATATTTGAGTACAGCACTGGATTTACGAGTTTTTTTATATACGAAAATTAACAATCGTAAAGAGGAAGTTTGTGTATTTGACTACACCACTGGATTTACGAGTTTTTCATATATACGAAAATTTACAATCATAAAGAAAAGGTTCCTGTATTTGAGTACACCACTGGATTTACGAGTTTTTTTATATACGAAAATTAACAATCGTAAAGAGGAAGTTTCCGTATTTGACTACACCACTGGATTTACGAGTTTTTCATATATACGAAAATTTACAATCATAAAGAGAAGGTTCCTGTATTTGAGTACACCACTGGATTTACGAGTTTTTTATATACTAAAATTAACAAACGTAAAGAGGAAGTTTCTGCATTTGACTACACCACTGGATTAACAAATTTTTCATATACATAAATAGGGTGTCCGTGTATCGGAAATAAACAATTTACTTTGTTGTTAACCCGGTGGTGTAGTGAACTTTGGGTAAAAAGTGCCCAATAAACTTCTGCGTTTTCCGATAAAAAAAAAACATACAAAAGTATAAAATATATAAAAAAAATATACTGTATAGAGTGAAAATTTGTTGGAAAAAACAGTTTGTGACGTTCACTATTTTTTAATTTTTAGGTTCCTATTTGTTTATTTTCGATTTTTTATAAATTAAATTTTTCGTACTTATTTTTGGTTATTTAGGATTTTTTTTGGAAATTATTTGCAAAAACGTTCGCTTATATTTTCCTTTATTGACTTCTTTATTCCAAATTTGATTTCAATTGATTTTCAATGTTAAATCGTTCAAAATACTCTCTTGTATTTATAATTTTTAAAATTAAATCGCCTGAAATATTTGTGCTTTTTCGGAAATTAATTTCTTTTGTTTATTTAATTTTGCATTTTTCAAATTGTAATTTTCATTCCAGATTTCAAAACTGTTTAATATTAAAATGTTGGAAAATAATACAAAATAATATTTGCATTTTTTTAAATTTGTATATATTTTTATTTGATTATTTATTATTTAAATTTGAGAATTGAATTTCAATGCAAAACGTTTTGAATTGCATTTTTTACTTTAAAAAATAACTGATATTCGCTTTTTTTTTCATTAACATTTTTGTACTAATTTGATTTTTTTTAACTGATTTAGAAATATTCGTTCATATTTTGTCTCATAAATTTGTCATTTCAAATTTAAATTGAATTAATTTGCAATGTTAAATCGTTCAAAATGATCTCTTACATTGTTTTATTTTTTTAAATAATTTTATTAATAATATAATATTATTAATAATTATAATTTTAATTCCACATTTCAGAATTGTTTAATATTAAACGTTTTTTCAAAATATTAAATTCAATTTCTTTTATATTTGCGTTTGTTTTTAATTTCATTATTTTGGCATGTTTCTGATGAAATTAATCTTTTCGTCACGCGTTTTTTTTTATTTATTTCAAAAACTTTTTTTTTTCATTTTATTGTTTTCCACCGATTCAAATTTCGTAATTCGAAATATATTCGCATTTTTTTTTTAATTTGAAAATAATTGATCCGAAAGATTAGCGCTGATTTTACATTTGATTGTTTTTTTTTCATTTTATTTTTTCAAAATTACACCTTTACAGGTTCGAAACATTTAAACATTTTTGTCTATTTGATTTTTTTCAAAAATTAAACCGTTCTGTATTATTCTGGCATATATAATTTTTTTTCAAATAATGTTTTGCATCAAATCTCGAAATTGAAATTCAATGTGGGACCCCGAGGCTATTTTTCAAAAATATTCTCACGTATATACCCTAAGTATCGGAATTTTACGCCCCGAGGTTGCTTATTCAAACGGGCTTATTGCCGAAGCCCTCGCGCCTAGAATAATGCTTTCGTCGCGAGCGCCCCCATCTCCACCCCGGGCCGCGCTTGTTTGCCGACTTTGGGGACGGATTTATGGTGCGGGCGGCTTAAAACTTGGCCAGTTTTAGCGAGCCTGAAACGTTTCGGCCCCCTTACGTTAAACAATGTCGGGGTATTTGGCGGCAACCGCCGCCTCCGGGCGCCATTTTGCTATATAGACGATTTAATTAAGCGAAAACTTTATTCGCGAATATTTCGGCAACCTGTCGTCGAGGTGCTAAATATAGGCGAAATCTCGTTCGGCTATACGGGGCGGCTCTATAAAATTTCGAAAATTGAAAATATTTCTTATATTTTTCGTTTAAAACTGGTGAGTTACTACGAAAAAAGTACGCCACTGAAAAAGTATTTTAATTTTTAATATTTTTACGGGGCTTTTCAGTTATCTTTAGAGACAAACCTGTTTGCGTCGTCTGTCTTATAGGGGGTTCCAACTTTTAAACCATCCCGCGTATTTTAGAGAACATATAGAGCCAAAGTCAGTTTTCGAAAATTATATTTTTCGTTTAATACCCTTAAGTCACTACGAAAAAGATGCGACACTGATCAAGGGATTTTTTAAAATAAAACAGGGTTGCGCATTTTAAATACTTTGACAGGACATCCACGTTATCTTTATAGATTGGAGAGTTCTTAGAGACAGAGCCAAAGTAATTTTTTGAAAATTATATTTTTTGTATAAATCCGTTAAATTAGTGCGAAGGAGTAAAAAGAATTTTTAAAATAAAACACAGAGATTAAAGAATTCCTAGAGAGAGAGAGAGAGAGCCAAATAATAAAATAACATATATACTTAAAAATGAAAAAGAAACATAGTACTAGGTATCGAAAAATTAAATGGAAATATTAAATAGAAAAAATAAAAACAAAATAATAATAATAATTATTATTATTATAAAATATGCAGCTTATTTTTGTTGTTTTGGTAATTTTCCACATTCAATATCCTGCAACTTATACAACGAAGTGAACTCTGCTTTATAAGAGCTTCTATTGAGATGTAATTTCAGGGCACCCTGTATATGGGGTATTATTTTTGAACTAATGTTGAATTCCGAACTAAAATTGGTAAGCGGGGGTTTTTTGAAACTTTCAAAGACGTTTGAAATAGTGTAGACGTTGACGTTTATAAGCGTGTTTGAAATATTTTGGTTTGAAGTACAAAATTATTTTTTTTAGTGTACAAAAATTATTTTTAAACATATTTTTTAAAAAATATTGTGAGGAACCAGAGAACAATAACGATAAATGCAGGAAATGTTTATAAAATATTTAAATGTATAAAAATGACACTTGGTCCACGATTTGTTACAGGGGACCTGCGTTGGTACACCTACGTGGCAACACCGAGCCTTGGGAGAGGAGAACGTCGTCGACATATCAGGCCACCGCCAGGTCGTATTTTTCGGCAAACCGCAGCAGCACCGCCGCCAACGTGCCGCCACTGACCAAGCACCAATCGTTGGGAACCGCGCAAAGCAAAAAGTGGACCAACTCGCCCAGTTTCCATTCACGATCGGAAGCGTCGCCCGGTATATTTACTTTCGGCAACGCCGCCTACAACAGGGAACTTTCGCCGGTCAGGTGAGTTTCCAGGAAAATTCGTTAACTTGGCAACGCCGCGCGACACTTGATGAGTCAAAATAACGCGTCAGTATCTACTACAAAATTACAAAGGGGAAATAATGAATGTTAACCCGTTGCACAGAAGAAAAGACATTAAATACAGAGTGTTTCACAATAAGATGCCGATCCTTACTTGTGTGAATCCTTGGATGCTTTCAAGAAATATATTTTTTTTTTGGCATAGAGTTAGTTGATTTTTTTAAAGTGTTTTTCTACTCGTAGCAGTGGCGTCCGGATAAGCAATAGAGAGTTTTTTTTTCTTTCGAAAAATTGTTTCCATATAGTGGGAATCCACCAAATAATCAATAATATATTAATAACAGTTTAAATCAGTTTGGGAAAGTTTTTAACTTTTGTGTACTATTAAGTATATCAAATTGGTATGAGTTCATTGGAGAAAAATTTACTATACTCGTTTTGTTATTGGAAAATCGTTGAAACCAGCCATTTTAATTATAATATTGATTTAACTAGGCAGGTTAGCAGAATCAATTTCACCTTTCATTAATATGAAAATGCCTAATAGTATAACTGTTTTGTATCGCTGCTTTAAAGACTTCACAGAAAGTTCTCTAAAAGCAAAACCAACTTCCTGGGTAAAGTCTGTTCATAGATATACGAAAGTGACTAACTGATACGAATTAAGGAAAGACCCGGGCAAGCTGAAAGAATCAAATATGGCCGAACAGATCCGTACTTTGCTTAGAATTCAATTATTTGGGGTTTTGTTAGGAAAGATACTAAACAATATTTATTTATTTATGTATGTTTAAATCTAAAATAAAATTACAAATAATTTTTATTACCTACTTAAATTACTTAAAATTATTCACATAATAAATCAGTATCACTATCGCTATCATCGCCTGTTCTAATTATTATTTGTTCTATATTATTTGCAATATGGATATATGATTGTTCTGCTTTTTATATATGTTTAACAAAATTTGCCCAACTTTGTCTAGGGTTGTTAAAAACTTCGGTTTCTATAAGTTCGAGGACATTGGAGTTAACACGGGAAAATACATTGTTACGACGAATGGCAGATTTCAGGTGCCAAACATGGTCGATGGGATTAAATATACGGTGGTAAGGTCTTAAAACTGTATGCCCTAGATTTTTTGCATAATTATCACAGACGTATTCCTTTTGTAGGTTCAAGCTTTGTAGAACCTCAATTAATTGCTTTTTGTTATAATCTTCGTGAAAATAAATGTCGTTATTATACATGTAGTTTTGGATTGTTGCTTTTTGATGGCGCGTTTGTTTAACACTTATCAGTTGAGTCAACCCAACACTTTTCCGGGCTATCATAAGTGCCGAACCAGGTTTCATCCAAGTAAATAATTGGCCTTTGGTAGTCTCTGTAAATTCTAATTTTTTCTAGATATTCCAGTCGCCATTTCCGAATTCTAAAAGATTCCATTGAAACTTTCCTTTTGTCAATTTTTTTAAATCTAAATCCCATGTGTTGAATACGCTTCCATAAGGTAGTTCTGCCACATTTAACTCCGCCAACAGCCAAAACTGTATTTCAGGTTTCTACTTGTTGTACGGAGTGTTCGCGATATTTCGTACAATAATCACTTAATTAGGTGGCCTAAATTTGTAGTTTTCGATTTCGGATTGAGCAGAGAAGTAAAAGTCCGGGCCCACATTTAATTTCTTAAAATTGGGAGCAATCAAATATCGCGAAGTATTTAAAAACAAAATGAATTATTTTTTCGGGCTATTTTGGATTACAGAAAAAAAATATTTTCTCCAAAAGTATGAACCCAATCGGAAAAACTATTCTACAAGCAGATCCAATAATATGATTTTTACTGCAATATTTTTTTTTGATTATTATTATTATTATTATTATTATTACTAAATATAAAATGCAGAGGAAAACCTATTATGCACATGGATAGTTAGTAACATAACACATATAATAATGATTTAGTTATTGCTGTGAAACAATACACTGTTCAAGCGACGTTTAAATACAGACAAGTTCGGCGCACACACAACATCTGGTGGTAAACTGTTCCAATAACTGAAAGTCCTTTTGCTTATAAAATGCAGGCGATGTGAAGTCCTGAATTGTCCCTTCCTTATTTTAAATGGATGACCACGTAAGCGTTCATCATTGCTTAAGATCACAAAGGGGCACGTCAGATGGAAATTGGTCATGGGTTAACTTATACATTTGAATGAGATCCCCTCGCAGCCGACGCTGACTTAATGTTGGCAGACTAAGTATTTTGAGACGGTCATCGTAAGGTGTATGTCTAAGCTGAAGTGGCCAGCGCGCAGCGGCTCGTTGCACTTTTTCCAGAACATCACAGTCACGCAATAGCCTTGGGTTCCCCACTGGGCAAGCAAATTCCAGGATGGGGCCAATGTAAGTGGTGAAAAGCCTGCGAGCGATGCCAGGACTAGGATTTTTAAAAGTCTTTTTCTTTGCAATATTTGATACATGTGCAGACAACGCAAGGCTATTAGTTACCATCACACCCAGGTCCATCTGAGAATCGACACTTGACACTAAGTTTCCACCGATATAATAATTCAAACCGGGACTGTTCTTGACAGGGCACTTTTGAGTATTCAGCGGCAATAGCCAAGTTGAGCACCACTTGGAAATAGTAGTCAAGTCCCTCTGCAATACTTTCGCATGTGTTGAAGCATTTTCAAATAATTTAATCCACGGTATACACTAAGAATAGGACTGGTCCCAGCACCGATCCCTGGGGAACACCACTGGGCACGTTATGTGGCAGTGAAACAGCGGTACCAATTCGAACTCTGAACGACCGGTGGCTTAAGAACGCCGCTATCCACTCTAGCAGCTTACAACCCGCTCCAACGTTTTCAAGTTTGAATAACAAGCGTCGAGTCAAGAGATGATGTGCAGTGATTCGAGCATGGCAATATATTTGATATGACAGATCTGCCAGGGTCAAAGCCATGCTGCGATTATATAGTGGGTTTTTCAATGACGTCATTTATTATTACGGAATGGTTTCAGATAACTATTGACTCTATTGGAACAATTCATATACCAGGAAACGTGGGAGATCCAGGGCTATAACGTCTGTTTCGGACATTGTCAGAATTATATACAGAGTGTGTCGTTTATGGGCAAAAAGTATCTAAAAAAAGTATTTTTGTGGGTAAATTATTGGAGTTAAATGAAAAACTGTTAAAGACGGGATAATTTGATTTGAACAGTACCGGAAGCGGTGCCCAGACAGAGTTTCAGTTTTCGAATATAATACCGGGTGCGCGAGATATTTGAAAAAATATAATTATAAATCGCAATTATCAGTACAAATTTTAAAACTTACCGAAGTTTGTCGTGACTTTGAAGTTGCACGAGACGTAAAAGACACTTTATACAATCAAATTACATCGATTTCGCCAAAGTTCCATAGTGCAAGGACAAAGACCCAGAAGTGGTTTCTTTCTTGCTAATTTGCTTCCACGCAGTGGTAAAATGGTTCTCCGTCCGTCCTTTGCAGGTGGTGTGACCGCGAAGTGGACGGCGTCTATCTGGGTCGTTCCGGCTGGGTCCAGGTCCAACAAAAGTCGCTTGACGATAACAGGCGCAACAGTTACGCTGCCAATTTCCCCAGCTGGCTCCAGTCGCGTCGCACGGGCGTCCGTCTCGCTCATTATCATTTCGACAGCGAGCCGGTCAAGTACTGCTCGATAGGCGGTATCCCCAAGACTCAGCAGCAGCAGCAGCCTCGTTCAAGCAGCGTCGAACATCACCATCAGAAACAGGAGACGCGGCCGTCGTGTCTAGTACTGCAGACTCGAGACCTAGAGCAACGTACCGCCAAAACGCCGTCTCCGCCGCCGCCTCCGCCGCTGCCTCCGCCTCCTCCAGACTCCCCGCCGTCGGTGACCCCGATAATATCGCCGCCTCCCGCGTTCCAAGACCAGAAAAAAGGAGCCAAGAGCCCGATGAAGACGTCAAGGACGTTTTTCGGCAAGACGCCGTTCTTGCCGAGGTCGGACGCCATCGTCGACAGCGACAATAGTCCGCCGCCGTCGCCGCCCCACGTCGGCAAATGGAAAACTACCGCTCCGCCGTTACCGTTGCGGGTGCCCAAGTTGCAAAAAAACGCGGAGAAGCCTCCAAGAATGTTCAAGAAGATGCCGCAGACGACCAAGTCGTTGGAGGAGACCACGGCGTCGCGACGCATGCAGTTCAAGTTGCAGTACGGCGGCTCGTCGTCTAGCTCATCCAGCTCGATGGGGTTCAGGAGTTTGGACAGCACCTTCAACCGGACGGGCAACGTGCTGTCCCGACTGTCCGAGCACACGGACTCGTCCGCGGACATTTGCGCGGACGCCGACGACGAGGATAACAACAGTTCGTCGATCAACGTCGCGACCGTGAATCGGACGAAGGGCCAGCAGGACGCGGCCAGCAGGAAACTGTCGCCGTCCGGCAGGGGAGGACGGTCCGTAGGGCATCACAGGTATAGTAGGGATTGTAGCTTTCTTGTTTTTATAGACATCGAGGTAAACGAAAAAAGAAAATGTAGCGTTAGTAGCCAAGTTTTGGTTTGTTTTAGATTTGATATAAAAAATAGCATAATATTTTATGGTGCTTTAGCGCACCACTGGTAACACCCGGTTTCATTTTTTTGTGATATTTTACAAAGCATGAAGTATATAAATGCACATTACACTTATTACAAACGTAAATTGTGTGGCTGTGGCAGATTCTACATCTCCTTCGGGCTTTATTATCATGAACAATCGTGAGGTGACCTTGATTATCATAACGCACTCCATCTATGACAGGTGCAAGATTTTTTTGAGTAATTGTTTTATCAGTTTTTAAAAGTCACAAAGCAATGTAAGATTTAAAATAAAGGCCACCACCTGTAATTAGCAATTCCGTTGTCTTATAAATCTACCCCACCCATATATCTATTGTATTGGGCAATTACATAAGGACGGGGTATATTTACATCTTTCCGTTCTTTTCTATTATAGCGTTTTACATTTTGGGCAGGATCTACAGTAGAAACATTACTCGCCACAGTTACAACTGAATTGTCGTGCCAACGGACAATAGAAATTTTTGATTCAGATTCACATGCTGAAAGATAGGATCCGCGGTCCAAATGATTTACAATTTTCCATTGGACATTTATTTGTTCTATTTTCCCTGATTAAATGTACAATGATGAAAAAAAATTTGGTGGCTTATCTACAACAGAAAGTAGACTCATGACAACGCCACCTCCAGGACCATGGTCAGAACGAGGTTTATTTTGAGCATCGCCATATGGAAGTGAATAGAATAGGTACCCATCAGATGAACAAAGGTACCCAAACTTGAAGCCAGAACGACCTGGCTTTATCAATTGGAATCTAATGCGGATCATACATTTTTTTATAAGATCAATTCCTTTGTCTCCATCAGTAGAGTATGCTAAATATGTGACAATGAATGATAACCCGAGAACAATAAAATGCCTACAGAATTTTAAAGTTAACTGGCCCTTATAAACATTTTGCAGGAATGGCGGCCAAAGAAAGGTACCATTTGTTCATCTATGGATAAGTTGAACGAAAATATGCCAAACCAAAGATTTTTTTTTTATTTATTACATCAAAGAAGGGTCTAACTTTTGAAAATTTATCATTTTTATCCAACAGATTATTGATAAATTGGTTAAGGCTTTCGCGGCCCGTTGATAAGCTATTATCTTGATTCGGGTTTAAAGGCCGTCGTCGATTGGAATTACTTCCTAACGTTTCGCTAGCACGAGTGGCGAGCTTCTTCAGAGGTCCTTCCATCTCCGATGTTGGACGTAGACTGAAGAAGCTCGCCACTCGTGCTAGCGAAACGTTAGGAAGTAATTCCAATCGACGACGGCCTTTAAACCTAAATCAAAATAATAGCTCAACAGATTATTGTCAGATAAGTGCAACTTTTGCTTTATCAATTGGAATCTATTGCGGCTCATACATTTTTTTATAAGATCAATTCTTTTGTCTTCATCAGTAAACCAAAAATGCTAAATATGTGTTAGTGAATGATAACCCGACAATAAAATGCCTACAAAATTTAAAAGTTCATTTTTTGACAACGAGAATTCGTGGCGGTTATTCTCTTGAGCGTGTTTTACCGAAAATTTTAAAATCAAATCAATCGCTTCGTCATCAAAAGACATAAAAAATATTTCAAGCGGAGTTTTTCCAGAAAGCCTATTTTTTAGCTGCTCACGTGATCTAAATTTATCGGGTATAGGTGTGTGAGTGTACTCAATCTGACCTTTCTTCCATTTGACAGTAGGAGCAAGCCTTTGCAGAAAGCTTCTTTTGAATTCCAGGGTTTCATCATCTGATTTAATTTTTGGTAATTTTCTCACGTTTATGTGGTTTTTTTAAAGGAAATGTGTTTAAAGCTTTTTTGGCATACGTCACTGTTTGGTCATTACTGGTTTTGAACTTTTGGATTATTTTTAGAAGCTTCTTTATTCTTTGATATGTTTTCTGACATTTATTTAATTGTTAGTATGTTTTCACGTATTTAATTCGTTTTCATCATCATATTGGGCCAATAATATTCCCAAATCCTCCCTTCGCGAAAAACTTCTTCTAGTGCAGGTTCAATTTAATTGGATAATAAGTCCAAATAGGTTTCTGCCGTGAGGTTTTTGGGGACATATACCAAGACGAAATTCATTGTCTTGGCTCCAGTACCAACAATTTTGAACATTTGGTCCGTTGTTAAGGGTGAATGTACATTCATCAGTGAAACATTTTTTTTAATCTTCGTCAGCTGTTTCCATGATTTCAAAACAAAATGCGACCCTTCTTTCTTCATCGCCTCCATTTTGTAATTGTAATTCCCCCAAAACATTTATTTTTTGAGGATATTGGCTTGGAGTATTCATTGCCTTGGCTCCGATGCCAATAGTTTTGAACATTTGGTTTGTTGTTGAGTATGAATGTAAATTCATGAGTGAAACAAAAATTTGTTAAAAAATCCCCATTATTATTTGCTTTTCCATAATTTCAAAGCAAAATGCTTCCTTCATTGCCTTCCCGGAGCTTCTAGAGCTGTTCGCATTAATAGGAAAAATATTTGTGTTTTTTTAATGTGCCCAACGCAGTGGTTCGATGCTTATTTACAACTTGTCCTAATCATACTAATCATTTGTTTCTACTCTATGAACGACATTTTCAGCTGAATTTTTGCAGTTATTTATTAAGATGCCTTCGGACTCAAACTACGTAACAATACGTTTAATTATTCAAATCGAAGATATGGTTTTAGCAGGAAAATAAAATGACACTGCTCTAAGACTCTTTCCTGCATAATTATGCTTCATTTTTTTTCCGTTGAATAACTCATATTTAGCTTTAATAAAAGTGCGTTACTGTCACGAACTTTCATGTTGTCATTATCAAAATGTATTTCACTGGTATTTGATTTACCACCTAAGTTTAAAATTTTTCTAATTGCACCAGTTCAAAAAATAGTATTGCAACTTTGCTACAGGGGAGCCAATAGTTGAGCACCTAAACATTTCCTGTGTTCCGCTCGGCAATACATCACCCGGTATAGGGGAAGGCATTAAATACTACTTACTTATCTACTTACATACCGTACGCCATATCATCGAGCGAAACCGTTTTTTCGCGTTGCAGGAGTCAGGCGAGACGTTCTCCAGCTGGCTCGGATACGAATAAGCCGTCGCCCGGATCGTCATCGTCTTCGAGCAGCAACGAGTTCCTGCCGCGTTCTCCGACCGCCCCCGCTCAACAGCAGCAGCAGCAGCAGGTGCGACGCAACGCGACGTCTCGTACGTACCAGAACGTCGTCCGGTCGCCGCAGGAGGATCCGGCGCAAAAGGTGCGCCGTTCCCGGAGCCTGCAGCTGCCGGAAAAGAAACCGCCGCCCAGCTTCGACCGGCGCGAGTCGCAGAAAGTGTCCCCGCAGCACCCGGAGCAGCAGCAGCAGCAGCAACGCGGTAAGGCGTTCCTCAAGATGGGCAACCAGCCCGATCGCAAGCGGTACACGAAGCCGGCGTCCTTGGAGACGGCGAAGGACAACATCATGGACGAGGAACTGCTCCGGGAAGCGGAGGCGGTCGCAAGTTATCTCTACGGCAGCAGAAGCAGGGCGGCGGCGCACGCCCTCCTGATGCACAGGTTCGTATATGCTTCCCTTTCCCACTGACGTCACTTTTAGGCCTTTGTTATCTATAGGTTTAGGAAATTTCTTTTCTTTTATACTTTTAGGTGATTATTATCTTCAGCATTTAGAGATTTCTTCTCTATTGCGCCCCTTTTAGATTTAGTTAGGAAATTATTATGTCGCTTTTACGTAATTTTTATCTTCGGCTCTAGGAAATTCCTTTTCTATTATTCCAATTTTAGGTCATTATTATCTTCAGTATTGGAAACTTTCTTCTCTCAAGTACATTTTTCCTCTATTGCGCCACTTTTAGGTCATTATTATCTTCAGTACTAGGAAATTCGTTTTTTATTTAAGTAATTTTTATCTTCGGTTTTAGAAAATTTCTTCTGTATTACATCACTTTTGGGTCATTATTATCATCAGTATTTGGATTTTTTTCCAATACGTCATTCTTAAATCACTATTATCTTCAGATTTGGAAGATTTCTTCTCTATCTTCATCATTTTAAATACATTATTATCTTGTGTTTTGTCAAATTTATTTTCTATTTACCTCATTTTTAGGTTATTATTATCTTCAATTTTCTATTTCTATGACTATTACCATCTTCAGTTTTTGGAAATTTCTTCCCTATTACGTCACTTTTACGTCTTGAATACGTGTATTGGGATTGTTTTTAATTTTTTGTCATTCCCTTCAATTATAATCATTTTCCATCGTCTTAATTTAGTGTTTTAATCTATGTAATTTTTTTCGCTTTTTTCACATACATCAGTTTCAGTTAATTTTTTTGACATTTCCGTCCATTTTGATCGTTTTCCTTTGTCTTAACTTACTTCTTGATACCTTTTTCTCATTCTAAAATATTTTTGTCTTGTGTATTCATTTTATTAGCTTTTTCCACTTCCGTCGCTTTTTTATGACATTTCTGTCAATTTTCGTTTTTCGTTTGTTACTTTTTTCTCACATTTTAAGCATTTTCTCCAATTTTTGGGACTCTACTTCTTGATTTCGTCTTTTTTTAGATTATTTTTATTACTTTTGGACTTTAAGTATGATATGTTTCGAACGCTTTTTATGTATTGTGACGTTATTTTATCACTTACAGGTATATTTGTTTTTCTTATTACTCCCCAAATAGCTGGTTGTTTATTCTTCTCTGCTCAGATTGTGAGCATTTTTTTAACAATCAGCATATATTGGATTTTTCTAAAAATTTCTTGCCTTTCGCGTTGTTATTGCCATTTTTTTTTGTTCTCCCCAGATACAACAACAACAACATATCACAAGAGGAAGCCGAGTACAGCAAACCCATACTGAACAACGAATTAACGATTTATTACGTGGGGAACAATCAATCGGAGCGACAAAAACTGCTGGTTAGGGGCTCGACAAGTCCGAACATGCCGTCGTCAAACAAGGCGAGTTTCGACGCTTCGCCGAGAAACGGGGGCAGTTTCGATTCTCCCAAACGTCCCTGCAATCCGGATACATGCGAATTTTGGCCCCACTGCTCCCACCGCCCGCCCCTCGTAAGGGACGCGCATCAGCACGGCATCCGACCGTCTCAAAGTTACCCGATGCACGCGAAAAGTCTAGACTCGGCCACCGTGGATCCGAGGTAAACCCTCTCCCGTCCCCCGCACGACTCTTTCTTTTTTAATATTATATTTAATTTTTATTGTTTTTTTAGTTTTTATTCCCGACTTTTATTTTCCCATTTTATATATTTTTTATATGTTTTCTGCGCTTCCGAAGCATGTTTTCTTTTTAAATTTTCATTTTATTGAAATATTTTTGATGTTTTTTTGTTTTGAATTTCACAATTTTTTTCTTAATTTTTACTATTTACTTTACACATTTAGTATTTATGCTCGAAATTTGTTGATTTATTTATTCTTTCGCTTTATTTTGTTTTTTTTTAACTAACTTATTTTTTGTTGTTATATTGTTGTTTAGATTTATTCTCGAAATTTATTTTACTTATTTTCTTTCCGTTCTTTTGTTTTGCGAATGCTTTATGTAATGTTTATTTTTATTTTATTTTAGTTTTCTGCCCTCCCGAAGCGCGTTTATTCTTAATTTTTTATGTTTTTTTTTTGTTGGTTTTGGAGGTCACATTTTTTTTCTGTATATATTTTTATGAATTCTGAGTGTATTTCGTTTTTTCTGGAAAAATTTATTTATTTATTTATTCTTTCGTTTCTTTTGTCTTTTCTTTTAATTTTTTTTTTGCTTTTTCAATGTTTTTTCTTTAGTTTTTGTTCCCTAAGTTTATTTTTCCTGTTCTTTTGTTTTGCAAATTCCTTTTGTAATGTTTCATTTTATTTTATATATTTTTATGTTTTCTGCTAATCCGAGATTTTTTTTTGGCGTCTAATTTAAATTTTTTTGATATTTCTTTTGTTTTGGATATCACAACTTTTTTTCATGATTTTAACTACTTTACGCGTTTGGGTTTTATTAGCGAAATTTATTAATTGATTTTTTTTTGGTTTTATTTCATTTCCTTTTTAATAACATATTTTTTTATTTTCATTTGATTTTTTGTTTAGTTTTAATTCTCGAAATTAATTGAATTTATTTATTTTTTTCCTTTCTTTTATTTTACATATGTTTTGTGTACTGTTTCTTTCCATTTTATATACTTTTATTTTCTGCGGCCCGAAGCATTTTTTATTAAACTATTTTTTTGTTTTGGATCTGACAATTTTTTTCTTTATGTACTCCTACAATTTTATGTTTTTATATTTTCTGACCCATCGAAGTACATTTTCTTTAGGGGTTTGATTTTTGTTTTCGAAATTTAATTATTCATTTTTTATAGTATAGAGTTTTGTGATTTCTATTCCGCTTATACTCGCTTTTTTCTTATTTCAATATTTTTTTAATTTAGCTATTTTTGTTTTAATTTCACCATATGTGTTTTGTTCTTTGCAGATTTTTATATTTTTTGAACGAATTTAATTTCTATTAACAAAATTTATTTATTTATTCTTGCTTTTCTTGTGAGCTATCTAAGAATAGTTTCTTCAACATTTATTTTATTTCATTAATTTTTGTGTTGTTGTTTTGGATTTTCATATATATTTCTTTAATTTTATTTTCTATATTTTACACTATCTCAGCCATCGAATTTTATATTTTCTGAGCTTTCGAAGAATATTTGCGTTGCGGGTTTATCTTGTACGTTTTTTTTTTAAATTTTACATTTTTTTGAATGTGACTTTTATATATTTTTAACATTTTCTGAACCTTCCTTTTTTTTGTTTTGTTTTCGTATGCAATTAACGTTTATGTTTTCTAAGTCGTCAAATGTTTTAGACTTTTAAATTTATTTTATTTATTTATTTTTTCGCTTTTATTTTATATATTTTTAAATTTTATTTTCTATTTTTCTATATTCGGAGCAATCGATGGACTTTTCGTTTTTCATTGTTGGATTAAGGTATTTATTTTTTTCTTATGTCTTTCGTTTTTTTTTTTGCATCACAAAGACGCTCGGAACATTTTATCGTGAAATCGGGTTCGTTTAAAAAAAAAGGGGATCGATTTCGTATAAAATAAAAACCCCTAGAATCTTCGTCGACAACTGTATCGGATTGCTAAAATTCCGGATCACTCAGGGTCACGTTGCCACCCCACCCGGATTTGATTCCTCAATAAAAGTTTTTATTTATTCCCGGTTGGGCTCGAAATATACATTGGACAAATTTCAGCCCAGCCTTGTCGCAAGTTCAAAAATAAAAAAAACTGTATAGAATTTTTTTTTAATTGAATCTTGTTCGCCTTTTTTAAAACTTTCTTACTTTGTGGTTATATAATTATGGGCAATTTTCTCCACGTTCTTGTATTGACTTGGAATGTTTTAAATTTTTTAGGCTATTCTTGATGCCATTCCGTACCACTTTGAGATATTTTTTGTTAGACACTTTTAAATTTTTGACAATTTTTTTTTCACGTGGGATTATTTTTCTAATGCTTTTCAGACGTAATATTGCGTTTATATCGATCGTTTTGAATATTTTATGTCAGCTAATTTTTTTTCATATTTTCGTCAATTTTAACCCTTTTCCGCGGTCTTAATTTAATTTTCTATACTTTGTCTCATATTTTACTAGGTTCCATTCCATTTTTGAAGATCAGCGTTGAGAGTTACGCTTACGTACATTACATTGGCTTTATTTGGACCGTTTTGAACTTTTGTTTGTTCTTTCACTGCTATTTGCAATGCTATGGTTCACTCTTAAGTTATTTTTTTGACATTTCCTTTAATTTGCATTGTTTTCCTTTGCTTTATTGTTGTTCTTATTTTTTAATTTTATATTACTGAAGGTAATTTTTGGGAGTTTTCTTCCTCTTACATCGCTTTGCAGTAATTCTATTGCGTGTTTTGTGGAAACTTTTGTACTGTTTTGGATTTTTGTTGTTGAATTTTTCAGTTTTTTTTAAGTACGTCAAGTTCAGGTATTTTTTGAATAATTTAGTCGTTTTTACTTTTCATTTTTGTATTGTTTAGCTAGCTTTTTTAATATTATTTTCATTTTTTAAAAAACACGTCAAGTTCAAGTATTTCTTTTGCTTTTCAATCAAATTTAATCGTTTTCCATGGTGTTAATTTAATTTTCCATACTTTTCCTCACATTTTTTTTTTTTTTCATTTTTGTATTTTTTAGCTAGTTTTTTGTAGCTTTGTTTCACTTACATCATTTTCCTGTTTCTATTTAGTTCGGATCGCTTATATTTTCTCGGTAATTTTATTAGGTTTAATTTTTGTTTATTTGTTGTTTGCCTTGTGGAAACTTTTTTATACTAGTTTTGTTTTCCATTTTGGTATTTTTTTGGTAGTTTTTTGGAGCTTTCTATCGTTCACATCACTTTCCTTTCATTATTGCTTTTATTGGGGTAGATTTGAAGATGCCATTTTCTGAACCTTTCGTTAATATTTTTAGATATTTTTAATTGAATGGTTTCCGCAATTTTTGTTGTTTTCGTCAATTTGTTTTTGTGAGCAAATGTTTCAAAGTTGGTTTTCGCTTACGTCACTTTCAGTTCATTTTCTTCAATCTTGTGATTTTGTCCAGTATTTTTAATATTTCTTTAAATCATTTCTATTATCCACATAGATGTCTTAGATTGTTAACGGTTATTTTATGATTTTTGGGGCTGCTTTGACGATCAATTTATAAAATTATTTTCTTTATTTATTAATATTATTATCTATCTATTTATTTATTTATCTATTTATATTTAACTATATAAATTTATTCTTTATTCTTATATTCTTTATTCTTATATTTATATATATTTATTTATTTATTTTCGTTTTTATCCAATTATATTTATTTATTTATGTAATATATTCCTCAGGTACCTTGCAAAGATGAATTCTTCTATTTATTGTATTTGCATTTATATATTTATTTTTTTTTATTAATTGTTTTCGTTGTCCTGATTTTAGGTTAATGCCGGTGGACAGGTCGCCGTTGCAGGAGCAATACCGGCGCCGCCTCGACGTCGACGGCAGGACGCTGAAGCAGCAGGAGTTCCGCAGGCTGAGCCCCAGCAGGCCGGGGCCCCCCGGGCTCAAGCGAAACGGCTCCACCGACGTCCCGGTAAATCTTCTTATTTAATTTGATTCGTTTTGCTCTTCGCGACGTGTCACCGATTATGTTGTGACTACTATTTTCTTCAAAAATAATAATAATTGGACGGACTAGACTAGTAGGAGTAGTATTTGCTGGGACGTCCATTGACCTAGGAAAAAAATTGTATTCCAAAAACTGTTATAGAGAAGAGGCTGCGTTTTTTTTTCTTCAAAAATCAAACGAAAAATGATTCTGTTATGTTGAATAGTTTCGGAGTTATTTTGATCGCCTTGCATTGTCTTCTTTCTTTACTGCTTTACGTTTTAGTAGTTTCCTTCAATTTTGTATTTTAAAAGGCAATTTCTGGGAATTTTCTTCCTCTTCCATCAATTTCCAGTCATTATGTTGCGTTTATTTGGATCGTCTTGAATGTTTTGCGTCTTGTTTATGGTCCTTTACGATTTTTGTTTTTTTTTTAACCACTTGTTTTAGCTTTTTTCGCGTTACGTTCACATCACGGTATTTTTTTTTGACATTTTCGTCAATTTTAATCGCATTTTAATTTTTCACAAAAATAATTCAAGATCATATTTCAGAACTAATATAGATAAGACATTTATTTCCTGAAAAGTCCAAAACTCCAATTCTCATATTTTGAGGTAGTGAAAAAAAAAAGGAATATAAAAAATCAGAAAATTATATCGCCTCATTTATCATCGCTCTTCGAGTCAAACGAAAAATCATTCGGTTATGTTGAATAGTTTCGGAGTTATTTGGAGGCGAAACAAAAAAAGTATTTTTTTTTAATTTCCGCGTTTTTGCCTCTTTTTTCGATTTTACAACACTCGGTACCATTAAAAAAAATTTAAATACAAAAGTTGTTCGTATTAAAATGACCTTTATGTTTTTTATTTTCCTAATTGTCACTTTTTTCATCGTCATAATTCGAGTTAAACTTTAAATAATAAATAAAAAATAAAATAATGCTTTTCTTTAGGCAACGATCAAATTCAAAATATTTTCTTAAAATACGCGGTGTTGCCACGGTTCGCAAAATGATACTTTTCCCAATTTTCTTAAATGAGACACCCTGTATATTATTGGATTTTCGAATAGCCACTTCAATAACAATTATAATTGTATGACGTAGTACGGGTCCCTAAGTTACCGTTTTGGCTTAATTGGCAGATAAAATTAAAAACTGGGTATAAGATTTAAATCATGAAGATATGAAACTGGGAATTAGCACCTTATCAATTTGTTCACAACCGTTTTAGAGCATTGTTAAGAAGTCATATTAAAAACAAAATATTAAGCATTGCACAATGTTGCCAAATTTCGCAAAATACTCATTTCACCGTTTAAATGTCTACGTGAAATGATTACCAAAAATTAACACTAACTGCTAATGGAGATTACCTACAAGTAAAATTAATTAAATTTGTTTTCCAATATGTCCGCCGTTTTGAAGAATACAAGTAGTATATGCTATTTCTAAATGGTATATGGCATTTGGGATGTAATTCGTTTCATTCAGATAGTGTAAACCGCCCCGCACAAAAAAGTCCATCGGGGTCAAATCTGGACTCCTCGCCGACCGATCCAGTCTGTGAAATTTTCAAAATAAATAAAAACTGAAAGTTCAGATTTTCATGACAATTGTTTCGACAACACCGTGTCCTTATCAAATGTAATATTTACTAATTACATGCTACTATATATACCAAAAAATGACGAGGATTTAATTTGAACATTTGAACGTCTCATTTTGTTAATCTCCATGGCTTCCAATAAATTTAATCTTCTACTTTTTGTGCCTGTATTTAAAATATCAAAATTGTCGTCAAAAATGTGTTTTTCTGTGTTTAAGTGTGTAGCATAATTAGAATCTAGGCTATTGATTTTAAACGGTCTTCTATGTTCGTTAATGCGTTTCTTGAAGGATCTACCTGCTTGTCCGATATAAATTTCAGGACAAGATCCGCATTTCAACTTGTAGACACCTGATTTTTGAGATTTTGAACATTTCGTTTTATTGTTTTTTTAAAAATTTCCTATTGTGTTGTTAGTTCTGTTCATTTTGACAAGTATTTTTTGAAATTTTCTCACTGGGTCCTCCAATGTACGTAATTGTTTTAAATTGTCCGTGTTCTGTATGAGGTTTCGGTTAAATAGAGTTTACTGTTGTCTAGATTTGTTTAATGATATTAATTTATTTGTTAACCTGTTCAATCTCGATAGTGAATTTTATACGATTATGTAATGAGTTAGTGTCATTTAAAAAAGAATTCAATTGTCTGTCTGTTCCCACAAAGCAAGCAAAGACCATCATCCACGTATCCATACCACCTTAGAATACTTTTACTTAAAGGATGTTCTGGTATGATATTTAACAAATTGTCGAAACAATTACCATGTAAAAATATATAACTTCGTGAAAATCTGAACTTCAGTTGAATTTCTGAAATTTTGCGCACCACGCTTTGTTTGTTTACTTCAAAAACACATTTTTTTATTTTCTAAACTCCAATAATGCGTATTTTTTCTACTAAATAAATCGATCATATTTCGAAATATGTTACATGAGCCTATTCATCATTATACTGCAAAATTCTTAAGTTGAATTTTGCTTCTTGTAGTTTTTGTACTGGTGCGAATTTAAATGGCTGATAACTGTTGATTTTTAAACATTACATTACATTAATATGAATGTGATTATTTTTTGAAATTTTTTTCCATTTAAGGACCTTATTTACAAGATTCTTAAATTATGATTGTAAAATAATTTATGTATTATTGGAAAATCAATGCCAATTAAGCCAAAACGGTAAGTCAGAGACCCGTACTATATTAGTAAAATTGCTGCTAAAGTGGCTATCCGAAAATCCAATAATATACAGGGAGTCTCATTTAAGAAAACTGAGAAAAGTATCATTTTGCTAAACGTGGCAACACCGCGTATTTTAAGAAAATATTTTGAATTTGATCGTAATATGATATAGATGGAAAAAAGTTTAAAAAGTTAATAAACAATCCAACAACGATGGTTTAAACATAACCTGAATTCTGAAGATGATAGCTAATAAGTTCGAAACGGTGCATCACAGACCCATATTGATATATATCATTGAATTTGTCTTTGAAAGGTCTATCCAAAGATGTAATAAAACGTAATTTTGTTTTACCACCCTGTATATATAAAAATGACCATTAGGAAAATAAGAAAAAGGTCATTTTAATATTAACAACTTTTGTATTTAGCTCTAAGTAGATTTTTTTTTTCAAGAAGGAAGCTATTACAAGTTTTTTGATTCTACTAATCGCACTTAATATACGTCTTACCGCCCCCTCTCTTTTGCGAACGCTTAAACCAGATGGTCCGTTAATTTCGCGTCTCCCCGCCACCACCTTCACCCCCATCCTTTTCCGAAACGCGGCATCATAAAAAATTTAGAAAGCGAAGACGCCGACCCGCGTAGGGGTTTTGGTGGGGCGGGGGGTCGGGGAGGGGCACGCCGCGGAAAATTGGGGTTAATTGCATCGGTCGGAAAATTTCCGCGAACAAGTTAATTGCGTTCGTCGAACACGGGCCCCAGGGGGGCGTCGCGACGCCCGACACTCGTCCCGGGACCGAGGAAAGTATCTTCCCTTTCTGGCGGTAAAGGCGATCGTATTTTTATTTATTTATTTTTTTTTTTTATTTAATGAAATTTAAGAATCAATTTAATAAACGTTATTAAGTAAAAGATTATTAAGTAATATTGTCGTAAGGGACATAATGTTTTTATGAGAAAATAAAATAAAAGAAAATAAATCGTTATTTGGGAAATATTAAACAATATTTTTAAAAAGCAGATAGATAATTGCGACCTAATTGTTAATGAAAGAGCAAGTTTTTGCTATTTGCTATTTTAATTCAGAAAGAATTATTAAGATAAATATTAATAATTTCTAGACACATAATTGAGACCAAATTTTTAATGAAAAAGCAATTTTTAATGCTTTATCAAAATTCACATTTTTTAATGTCAAAAATTACTTTATTTGAGAAAAATTAAAAAATATTTTTGAAAATCCATTGCACAGTAAAATATTAGTAAATCGTTGGTTATTGTGTTCTGTCAAAATTCGCGTTTTCGCATATTTTAAAATGTGTCTAAAGTTACATTACTCGGGGAAAATTATTTTTATTAAAAAAAACTTATTTAGATAAATAAATAAATAAGTTTTTATGCTCTCTCAAAATTGACATTTTTTTCAAAGTTAAAAAAATATTGTATTTGAGAAAAATTAAAAAATATTTTAAAAAGGTGATTGTTCAGTAAAATATGACTAAATAAAATGGCCATCAGAGGACGTAATTGGCAGATAGATATTTGCGACCTAATTTGTAATGAAAGAGCAAGTTAATTTTTCAAAAAAACGTCCACAGGCTACTGTAATACTTTTTACAAAACTTCTGATCGAACTTGCTGAAGTTTCGCCAATCATCCTGTTGACTTCTTCAGAGCTTGACTGAAACTGGCTCGCATTTTACTTTACCAAAGTTCCCATTCCTGAAACTCTCAGACCTAACATTGGGTCATTATGCTTACAGAAGACCTACGCACACAGACCGATACCTTAATGCATGGTCACACCACCAAATCAGCGGTTATCAACTCTCTTGTTTACAGAGCCGCAAAACTATCTCAGCCCAAGTCGCTGAACCCGAAATTAAAGTACTTTACCTCTGCTCTTGTCTCTAATAATTTCCACATTAAAGATATTAAGCGTTCCATCACAACTAATGAGGTCGAAAGCAATCCTACACTTGCCACTGCGGTCCTTCCTTATATTCAAAACCTCACTGACCACATATCAAAAGTTCTATAGAAGTATAATGTCAAAACCAGATTTACCACTTGTCCAAAAATATCTCCACGTGCCAGGAGTTTGCAGCATTCCATGCATATGCGGCAAAGAATACATTGGAGAGACCGGACGAAAAATATCAACTACCGGATATAAAATTTTATTCGATAAGA